TATTGAGTGACTGAAATTGTCATCATTTTTATCGCGAGCCCAGACGTCTAGTGTGAGGTCCTTCTCCCTTTAAGGGCGAGGAAGCAAGAGGCCTCGACATCCCAGCTCTTGTAAGTCATTAAGTAACCGTGAATAAGTTTATTGTACTTTACTCTGCAGAATATACAAATATAAAGTGTTGCAACTTAATCAAACACCTGTACGCGTAATGGTCATCATTGTGTTGAAGGATAAACTTGACTCTTGAATATAAGAGTAATTACTTTTGAAAGTGAAGGACAGACCCAGTATGTGTGTAAGTGCATTAAAACCAAAATTTCCAATGTAACCTACATCCTTTATCGAGGCGTGTAAATATTGCATCTAGCATCTAGGGGAGCCGGTCGGCCGAGCGGACAGCACGCTGGACTTGTGATCCTGTGGTCCTGGGTTCGATCCCAGGCGCCGGCGAGAAACATTGGGCAGAGTTTCTTTCACCCTATGCCTCTGTTACCTAGCAGTAAAATAGGTACCTGGGTGTTAGTCAGCTGTCACGGGTTGCTTCCTGGGGGTGGAGGCCTGGTCGAGGACCGGGCCGCGGGGACACTAAAAAGCCCCGAAATCATCTCAAGATAACCTCAAGATAAGCACCTAGAGAACGGATGCAGCTTACATCCGAAAATTAGATTATTAATACAATTACATATATATTTAGTCCTTCCTTCCCCTTCATTGTAGGGAAAGTTTTTCCAATAATTGCTTTTATAGATTCCATTAAATCTACATGTAATTTCATATACAGAAAATCACACTTGATATATATATATATATCTCAAACATATCCAGTTGAATGAGTTGCCAGTCAGTGGTAGTACAGTGGGTGGTTGGGAAGGCCTTGGTACAGGGTTCGAGTCTCATATATATATATCTCAAACATATCCAGTTGAATGAGTTGCCAGTCAGTGGTAGTACAGTGGGTGGTTGGGAAGGCCTTGGTACAGGGTTCGAGTCTCCTCACAGCCCTAGTGGGTTTCCTCATTTAATTTTATATTAACCCTCTCCTTCCCCCCCCCTACCGTTTTAATGTATTCATTGACAGGTTACAATTGTTCATTAGTAGTTAACGGTGTAAGTGAATGTGCGTGTTTAGTTGTACTCGCCTAGTTGGGCTTGCGGGGGTTGAGCTTCGATTTTTTGGTTCCGTCTCCACTGTCAATCAACGACTAGTGTACAGATTCCTGGGGTTATTTTGCTCTATCATATCTACATTTGAAATTGTGTATGGAGTCAGCCTCCACCACATCACTTCTTAATGCATTCATCTACTCTGACACTGACAAAATGCTTTCTAACATCCCACTGGCTCATTTTGTACTAGGTTTTCACCTGTGTTCCTTTGATCGCGTACCACCCGTGCTAAATAGTTTATCTTTATCTACCCTGTCAATTCCCCCTGGGAATTTTATAGTTAGTTATCACGTTTCCTCTAACTCTTGTCTTATAGTATCGTGAGGTTTAGTTCCAGTAATCTTTCTTCGTAGCTCATACCCCTCAGCTCGGTGACTAGCCTGGTAGCATATACCTCTGAACCTTTTCTAACTTCGTTTTGTGTTTGACTAGATGTGGACTCCACGCTGGAGCCGCATATTCCAGTATTGGTCTAACATATGTGGTATAAAAGATTATGAATGATTCCTTACACAAGTTTCTGAAGGCAGTTCTTATGTTCGCCAGCCTTGCATACGCCGCTGATGTTATCCCATTGATGTGGGCTTCAGGAGACGTGAAGCCACACCACGTGGTGTGGTTTATGCCACACCAGACGTCCCCGTCTGGTGTGGCATAAACCGCCAGATCTTTCTCTCTTCCTGACTCTTAAAGGATTTCCTCTCCCAGCTGGTACCTTGTGTTTATCTTGCTCCCTATGCCTATCTTCATCACTCTGCACTTGCTCGAGTTCAACTCTAGTAGCCATTTATTGGACCATTCCTTCTGTCTGTCCAGATCATCCTGTAGACTCTTGCTATCCTTCTGTCTTAATCTTTCTCATAATTTTACCATCATCAGCAAACATTGAGAGGAATGAGTCTATATACCTTCTGGAAGATCATTCGCATATGTCGGAAACAAGATAGGTCCGAGTACAGAGTCCCGTGGGACTCCGCTGATGACATCACACCATTCTGAGGTCTCACTCCTCACAATAACACTGCTTCCTGTTGTTTAGGTACTCCTTTATACATTGGAGCAGCCTACCACTTACTCCAGCTCGTTTCTCCAACATATGTAAGTCTCTTATGGAGGACTTTGTCAAAAGTATTCTGACAGTCCAAGAAAATGCAGTCTGTCCATCCTTGTCTTTCTTGCTTAATGCTTGTTGATGGGTCGTAGAATTCTATTAAACCTGTGAGACAATTTGCCATCCCTGAACCCATGCTGGTGGTGTGTTACAAAGTTCCCCCCTCTCCAGATGTGCTACCAGCCAGTTTCTCGCGATCTTCTCAATCACCTTGCATGGTACACTTAAGGACACCGGCCTGTAGATTAGGGCCATTCCCGCACCTTTGTTTCTTTAGCTTGACTCTGTGTCGTATTGTTCATGAAGTTGCTGATTTCAGGAATTCCTCTTTATCAATTTGGTCGAATCCTTTTAGTATTTTGTAAGTGGTGATCATATCACCTCTTTTTCTTCTATCTTCTAATTTTGGCATGTTTAACGCCTCCAGTCTCTCCTCGTAACTTGTGTTTCAGTTAAGGAAGCCATTTTGTAGCATGCCGTTGCACCTTTTACAGTTTATTTTATGTACTTCTTGAGATTTGGGCACCATACAACTGCTGCATATTCCAATTTTGGTCTCACAAAAGTCATGAACAGTTTCTTCAGTGTTTAGTGTGTGTGTGTACTCACCTAGTTGTACTTGTGGGGGAACTCTTTGTTCCCACCTCTCGACTGTCAATCAACTGGTGTATAGATTCCTAAGCCTATTGGGCTCTATCATACCTACATTTGAAAGTGTGTATGGAACCTGCCTCCACCACATCACTGCCTAATTCATTCCATTTTTTGAACAATTCTGACACTGAAAATTTTGTTTTCTAATGTCTGTGGCTCATTTGGTTACTCAGTTTCCACCTGTGTCCCACTTGTTCGTATTCCACCCATGTTAATTAGTTTGTCTTTGTCCACTCTGTCAATTCCTCTGAGAATTTTGTAGGTGGTGATATTGCCTCCCTTAACTCTTCTGTCTTCCAGGGATGCGATGCTCAGCCCCGGTAGCCTTTCTTCCTAACTCATACCTAGCTGTTCTGGGACCAGTCTGGTGGCATACCTCTGAATCTTCTGTAACCTTGTCACCTTGTCTTGTGTTTAACTAGGTGTGGACTTCAGGCTGGAACTGCATACTCCAGGATTGGTATGACATAAGTGGTATACAAGGTTCTGATTGATTCCTTACACGTTTCTTAAGGCAATTCTTATGTTGGCATATCTAGCATGTGCCGCTGATGATATCCTTTTGATGTGGGCTTCTGGGGACAGGTTCGGTGTGATATCAACTCCCAGATCTTTCTATTTGACTCTTGCAGGATTTCACCTCCCAGATGGTACCCTGTGTTCGGCCTCCTGTTCCCTTCACCTAATTTCATTAGTTTACACTTGAGTTACACTTTAGTAGCCATTTTCTAAACCATTCCTTCAGTTTGTCCAGTCGTCCTGTAGTCTCTCTATCTTCACATGTCTTGATTCTACTCATAACTTTTGCATCATCAGCGAACTAATTAATTTCAAACAATTAACTTCTCCACAATTCCACAGCTGCTCTACGAGGTACGATTTTCACACCGTTACTCTTCCTCATCATAATTGAAAACAAAACTAGAATACAAACCAATTTTCGTGCCATCCGTTCAAGTCAACATTATACCATTCAACAGTGACAAATTTAAATCACATAAGTACAGGAAAATGAACACCTTCATAGGAGTGCAAAATACAAAACAGCATCATCTCATAGAAAGAGGCTACCTAGCAAAAAGATCTATCGTTTAGAACTCACAAAAAAAGCAAACATTGCTACATCCAGGAAAATGATTGGGTAGATAACTAGAGTGTCAAAACATAGGGCCACACTAATGATGGTCCTCTTTTAGGCACTGGTGTCATCTTGTTCAGAATTGTTAATATCTCATTACCTTTTTAAAAGCATACGAGATTGCAGAACTTGAAAGTGTGCAGATAACTTGTACTGCATACACACAATCAGTGGAATACTTAAACTACTGTGACCGTCTCAAGGTACTCAAAACCGTATTCCTTGAAATGACGACGAGAAAGATCTCAAAATATACACGTGGAAGATACTGAAAGATCAGGCTCCAAACCTACACAAACAAAAAATATTCCGGAATGAGAGACATGGTAAGAAGTTCAAAATAAATCCAATGAAAAGTCGGGGTGACAGAGGTACAACTAGAGAACGCAGCCAGAACGCAGTCTGGCTTTGATTGTCATTTAGGCCTTTGGCTACAGAGGCAAATAGCCTCCAGGACCTGGCAATCACCAGGGACGGCTGGTCATTGGCATGGTTGTACAAGAACAACTCTCGAAATCTTCGACTGGTAAACAGGTAACTAGTAGTTTTTTACTATTTCAGCCAGGAGAAACGGGTATATGTCTGGTATTTCACCCAGGATCGAGAGAGACTGTTAGGTTCATAAAAATACTCACAAACTTAACCAAGACAAATGGTCAATGTTCTTATAGTATGCATGAAAAACACATAAGGATGTGCTATCTTATTCGTAGTGAAACTGCAGTTCCTAATGTAAAGAAACAAAAACTTTCAGAACATAACGATGAAATAAGAATTAATGCCATTTATTTTGTTTCCATTTAATGACTACCCTTGAAATTTTTGGTCAACAGCATTAAACAAGTGTCAAGATTGCTCACACTAACTGCAGAGAGGTGGCAGGTGTACATGTATGGTCGGAGAGGAAATAGAGGAGGGAAGCCTACTCACCGTGATGATGCAGTTGGCCGCCACGATCACCCAGCCCCACCCACCGTCAGGGGGCACTAGGTTATCTGGCCTCGGGGGACGGCTGCAGGGCTTGATAGGACCTCCCTCACCCTTCTTGATGCTGCTGTCTTCGTGAGTCGACTCGACCCATCCTCCACCTGCAGGAGGAAGATTTAAAAATACATAAAACTGCAGAAAGCAAACTGGTCCATTTGAGGCAGGCCAACCAAACAGTTTACATTAAATTCATTAAGTAAAGCTGAGAGACAAATCCTTTACATGGTTCAGATCTGATCTCACCAGCTGTTATAATCAAGCAGATACAGAAGTCAGTCACACGTGCCTTCACAAGGCCTCATAAAAGTAACTATTTAATACCTATACAAATAAAAAAACGACTTTTTGCAGTTAGAAGTACTAGTGGATATACTCTGCTGGCTTTATTTAGCGTTACAATGTCGAGGTGCCACTACCACTTTACCACTATCTCGAGGTAAAGTTGAACTGTCGAGTGAAACTAAAGAACCTGTAGCAAGTATATTATGTCAGTAATATATTTGCTCCAAACTCGCATTAGCTTTTGTACTGATAATGAGATTGGTCTGTTAATTCCACTTAATCCACTAATTACAAATTCATAACTCTTCCTGAATTACAATTAACACTTCTTCTCTACCTGCTAGAGGATGGTAAGGTGTGGACTGATTATATAAGCAATCAATAAGCAAATGCATGCCATATTCACCAACAACAATGTATCACTGTGTGTCCAGTTCCTACCCTCACAAGACGCTTCAGCTTCGACACAGAGCATACGGCCAGACTCCGGCAGCATCGAACTTCCACGCTCTCGTCCCGCACCGAGCTCCTCGACTCCGTCCGCATTCAGAGCGCCACGCTCTACAACTCTCACCCCGCATCCAAGTTCTCCACCCCAGGCCTCACTCAGCCCTGTCCTGCTCCAGGTTTCGTCTCAACTACTACGACACTTTACTACACTGCCAACAAACCGACTGCTGTAACCAAGACTACTAAAATAAAAAAAAAATAAAAAAAAGTGTATCTATTAAACCAAATACGTAGTCGTAAACACTATATTACAAACCGAAGCAATTCTCTGAGCGTACTGAACACCGTGCTCTCACATTTTTAATGCATACCGACATATACTAATATTTATGTAGCCTTTAATCGAGATGCGATACCTTCGTTTAAAGATAAAATATATCTTAGATTTATCGAATTTAAATCTTTCATTCTTCGAGACATTTTCTGTAAACATTTGAAAATGTCAGTGATAGAGTGGAAAATGCTGGCTCAGATTGCCTATGTGTCTTCATTACAGTGGTTATCCCAATCAGGGTGAAAAATAAGCCCTCACAACCTGGCTTTTAGACAAGGAAAACTAGCTAACCCTCCGCTCAAGAGCTAAGTGATATGATGAACAGCCAAGCAAATGCAAGCATCAGTCACAAACTTGACCTCCAGTATAAACACATTCCTCACCGGCAGAATGTGACCAAGCCTTCTGATCAGCTATGGTATGAGAACAGAATCAGTGGCAGTCGAGGCCGAAAACAAGGCCTAAAGGAGACATAAAAGATAAACTTCTTTGTCATTAAATGAAAAAAAAAATATATATATATTTAAGTAGGCTAACTCCGGATGGGAATGAAAAAAAAACTTCCACCAGAAAGAGTTTAATTGAAAGTCTGAGGGGTCTCTGGTTAAAGGTCGGATTGATTGATTGTTGCCGCCAAAGGCGGCTAGTTTATTGTGCACCCCATACTCATCCTGTGAGCGGTAGCGCAAAAGCATTACAGAGGGCACAAAAGGTCTTTATCAGACCTCATCTTAGATTATTACATAAACAATTTCATCTATCCTTCACACCTTACAGTTACAATGTCAGCTAGTTACAGAGAAAGGTCGGAAGGGTTATTCATCAGAGGATGCAATCCAACCACTAAATCAAGATGTGACTTGCAAATTGAACGAAAGGCAATTGGGTCAGATAGGCCAGTCCATGACTGTAGTTGTGCAGACCTGTTGACTTCACCTCCAACTCGTCTTTACTAACTATCTAGCTCAAGAAATATGGCCCTCTGTAAGAAGAATGCAGATATAGTTCCAGTCAACATAATGAAAAGCAATTCACTGTTCTGTAACTACAGAATGTCATTGCTTTCAATTACTGACAAAATTCTTGGGCAATAATCTCAACAAATTTCAGCATTATTTTTCATCAATTATTATGTGGCCGACAATATCGTTTCAGTAAAAGTCGTTCTGCTGCTGATCTTTTGCTAAACTTCTCCACTAAGTGGCATCAGTCACTGTATGAATCCAAGTGAAATGATTATCAAAAGAAGGCGCCAAGACAGGGAGACTGTAACACCATCAAAGGTGCAGCATTTTTTAAAAGGCACAAAATATCACTAAGGATTCCAATTCGAGAACAAAAGTGCACAAGACAAACGACATTAAAGGTACCAGATTCACCAAGGATTCTATCGAGGGACAAATGACCGTGAGGGACAGTTGGGAAGCAAGACACGCCTGTCCTGGAAGTCAGGACATTCAACAAGGATATGCACGACCGTAAGAGGGACAATAAGCAGCAGGGCGGCACTCCAATAAGTGCCCTCGAGTTAAATGTGTATGTCCAATACATAATCTCGTCAGAGCAGTTTCCCATCGCCGGTTACAGTAGGAGGAGACAGGCCAAAGGGACACACTACCCTTAAGACCCGCAGTTTGTTACCAGTAACCTGCCAATGGGCAAGGCTTGACGTATGAACGACTGGATAGATGATGAAATAGGGAACGCCTTTGCGGGAAATAAGTGCGGATAGCTTCCATAACGACAGCGTCCACATGATCATTTGAGTTGACACCAATATGGCTGGGAAACCAGCAAAACTTAACTGTCTTAAATCTGCTGGAGATAGGAAACGGCCAATGCTGAATTTCAATTACCACAAAATGGACTGGATTAAATGACGACAGAGTCATGAAGGCACTGCAAGAGTTAATTAAGACAAAGGAATGTGAAAGTGAAAATGCAGTTGATAAGGAACATTCAAAATTGCATAAAGTTTTGAAATGAAGATGCTGGTCTCCAGGGTGCAGGCGACACACACACGGTCAGGAAATACGAAAAATACTGCCTACACCGTTGGCAGACTTAGACCTGTCTGTGAAGATGGCAATGGGAGTGGGAGTGGGAAGAAAAGTGTGCAAGGAAAAAGTCTTTCAGAACTTTCTACTATGAGTGGTAGAAGCCTTTGTTATGTGTGTGTCAAGATTTTGAAACTTTGGAAGTGGGACTTTCCTGGGGGAGGGGGGGGGCCAAGGATGGGACGACGAGGAGAAACTTTGGTAATTTGAACCGAGAATCTTGCAAGCGAGACAACTGCATTGAAAAAGGAAGGTGGTGAAAGGAAACAAGGCCCACAGGAGGGGAAATGGTCAAAGCACGACATAAGTGAGAGTGAGGATGTTGTAGGGACCGCACAAGGTAGCAAAAAGAGTAAAGATCACGACGATCCTGTAGAGACAGGATGCCAGTTTCAACATGACTCGGGGTAGAGGGACAAACTAAAGGAACCAGAGCCGAAGCATAAAGAGCATCAAGACGATGAAGAGTGGAAGGAGACACAGAAGAGTAAGTGGGATAGCCATAATCGAGTTTAGACAGCTAGAGAGAGAAGCGCACATCTATTAGCTCCCCAGGAAGTATTTGACAACACCTTAAGTTAAGGGTCTTAGAGGTGAGAGATATGCGAGGACCAAGACATATGAATGTCAAATATTAACCCCAAAAGTTTAGCTGAATCTTTATACGAAAGAGGATTACCATAGAGTGACAAAGGGGTGCACGAAGAACGACCTGCTTCCGATTCCGAGTAATAGTCATAGCACAAGTCTTAGTTGGAGATAACCTGAAGCCATGATCGGTGGGTAACACAACACGGCATAAATTGCAAGTTGAAGCTGCCACTGGAGGAAAGGCGAGTCATCACCTCGACAGCAGAGGGTAAGAGTGTCAACATAGAGAGCTGAGAAAATCCCAGAGGAGAGACCATTGAGGGAAAACCAGGAAAATAATAGGGGCTCGGAACATTACCTTGGGATACACCTTCATATTACCAAAACGAGGCAGAAAGCGTGTTACCAAGCCTCACTCTGAAGGAAAGACTAGAGAGGAAGTTTTGCAGGAAAATAGGAAGATTGCAGATGATGAATCACAATAACGTAGCTGAAGAATGTTGACCAAATCGCACATTAGAAATTGAAGAGACAACGAGGTTTCGGTCCATCCTGGACCATTATTAAGTCGATTGTGAAGAAACAAGAAAGGCATGGACATAAGTAAGGCAAGAAAGAGGTGAGGAGGAGGAAATCTTGGAGGAAGGAAAAAGCATGGCAAAAGATAAGGGGTAATGGGTATGAAATGGATAATAAAAGGAGTAAATGGGAATGAAAGAAAAAGAAAAAAAGCTTGGGTAGGCTTATGTTAGGTCACGTTTGTTAGAAAGTTTAGAACGTTTGAGTATGTACTGTGAAAGGTAAGAGTCAACAACTGACAACGAATCTTCCACAACAGAACCACAGAGGTAAAGGGCTGGCGAGACATCTGGAACAATACCCGCTATCTTACAGATTTTCTTCCAGATCTGAGGGAGAAGAGTGTCAACCATAATGGTGGAGACATAAGAGTTCCAGCTCTTGCTTAGCCACATGGATGGCCACCACACTTGCCTTCCGAAACAAAAGAAAAGAATCAACACCTGTTGGCGACAGTGTTTCTTGCAGGCTGCACGCTTACAGCGGACAGCCAGAGGACAGTCTGAATTCCACCAGGGAACACACTTCCGTGTGCTCTAGAAGGAAGAGCGAGGAACAGAGCGAAGGGCAGCGTCCAATATCGTGTCATGAAAAAGGAGGGGGGCTTATGGGAGGCAGATCAGAGAGGTCAGAAAGAGTAGCATGTAGGGTGAATAGATTCCAGTGAGCCTTGGCAAACTGCCACCGAGGGAAGGAGACGGGGATGGTAAAAAAGAGGTGACAAAGATGGGGAAATGGTCACTGTTATGGAAGTCATCAAGAAACTGCCATGTGAAATCTAAATAAAGAGAAGAGGAGAGGAGCAGAGAGAAAGATCTTCCCAGAACTTGTATGCCGACAAGTATGCCGACAATCACCCGAAAGGAGCACAGGCTTCGGTAAGGAGCCCAACAGGTGTTTAAGATTAGGAAGAGAAAGTGGGACATTTGGGAGATAAACAGAACAGACTGTATACCATTTACTCACAAAGATACAGGCCGCAGAGCACTGAATGTGCGACTGAAAAGGTATGGGGAAAAATGGAAAATCATTGCGGACCAAGAAAGCAGTAGAGTTATAGGCCCCAGCAAAAGTCGGACAGGGAAAGATAAAGGAATAATCACAGAAGTGACCAGGACGAGCGCCAAGCATCGGCTCCTGGAGACATACATAAAGCTGTGAAAACTGCGTGATCAGAGTTCCTGTGGAGTTCATGGAAGTTGGCGTAAAAACGACCAGTATTCCATTGAAGAATTGACAATGTCAAAAATACAGATAACAGAAACTGAGATAAGGGAAAAACAAAGGCAAAGAGGCAAAAAACAGTCACAGGATAATAAATAGGATTAGGGTCATTGAAATTGGGGTTATGGGGCATTGGTAAATCTAGCAGAGATGATGGGGTCAAGGGAGTGATATGATGGGCCGGAGGCGGACTGACAGAGTCTGGAGTGAGAGGAGGCATCAAAGAGGGGCGGTCAAGGAAATCGGGGAAACGGACAGAAACCGGGGAGTGCATCTGATCAAGGGCAGCATCCGATAGAGAATTAAGGACCAAGGAAGCCTCCATAGCTGGGACAGGTGACTCTGCACTGAAATGGGAGGGGCTGTAGGGATGGAGGATGTCATGACCCCATATACACCAGTATGATCATACTGTGGCTGGTGTATGATGTGTTCAAACTGTATATTGATATCTTGGCTGATTAGCCTAGTATCACAAATATTATTATATTTATCTAATCATCTTTCGACAATATACTAGTATAAATTGTGTATTGCCAATGTCTGTATAATATACCTATGCATATTATATTTCAATACCAAAGTTATATGCCATGTATTTGTGGCTATATTGGAAGTGTAGTAAATAGGAGAAGCCTAATGTCATGTAGCTTGGAAAACACCATTATGTGCTTATAGTATAGAATGCTACGTGTTGCTGATAGGACATGATATGGGTATTATGACGTAGTATGTATACATTTAGCTGTCTGATGTATTATTAGCATTTATACTGTGAAATACCCATTTCATTATTGTTCATGGCATTGTCCTCTTGTCATGTCAGTAAATTATACTGTGATGTATACCACAGAGGCAAGGTTTTGATACTCATGTTGTATATGATACTTGTATTTCATGTATACTTATGTATAATGGCTGACCGGTAACGTCTTGAAATCCTCCCTTAACTCCCCCCCCCCCCCCCCCTCCCCCTCCCTGCGTACCGTCCCCAGCCAGTGTTACCATGCCTTGCTAATATGAATTCCCTGTTGATTTATTTGTACATCATGATATAACCTATTATGTATTAACTATTGATATGTATTCTTATGTAAGGTTGAGTATTATAACCTTGGTTTAGTTATTGTATAAATTAGGAGTTATTTACTGAGAAATATCTGTATGTGAGTTTGTGATATTCGAAAGAGGAGAGTCAGCTTAATTGTGGATTTGGAAACTGTCACTCCCGCCTGCTTGGCTCCTGATCTTCTCTTTTGATCTTCTCTTTTGATCTTTGATCAAAACTACTCTTTTGATCTTCCTAGTCGACTCTTTTGATCTTCCTAGTCGGGTGCATGTGTGTCACCCTGGTCCGGGTTTTAGTGGCCTTATTTGTGTTAATTGACTGTTAGGATATTTAATATTATACAGTAGTGTTTTCCATGGATCATTTCTACCGTTGTACATTTATACCAGGTGGTAGGTGCTTTTATATGTATTATTGAGGTGGGTATCCGAGGATCTTAATTGATGCCATTGTGCTATGTATATTGATTCCTCAACCTCATTTGTTAATGATTGTGACACCACCATCCTGTATTAGTATTATCAGCTAGTGCTGAGTGTATGCAGTTTTGAGATCTGTTGACGATCATGCAAAGCTATAAGAAGCTGGATAAAGTAATAGAATGTGAGTTATAGAAATTGTAGTTTTCTTATGATGTTATGGTGACTTCTGTTATATGCCCCAGTAAACTGGAATATTTTTTGCTAGCCTTTGAATCCCTATTGATATTTGGCCAGGCTACGTTTTCCAGCGATGCTGTAGGTTCACTCAATCATAATATTATATGGGGCTCCATAACAGAGTCGAAAGGTGACGAAGAGTGATGCCTTCTTACCCGCGGGGGAGGAAGAAGGAAAGGAACCAAGTTTGCATTTCAT